AAGAGCCCAAACAGGGGGCATGGCTTTGGGGCCTGTCTGGAGGGCTTTTTGTAGATTTACTTGGGTTAGAGAGGTTTGCGTAGTTTGGAAGGACTCAAGGCAGGAATTGATCTGGCTCAGGCTTATCTAGCAGAGCCTCTTAAATCCAACAGAGGCAGAGATTTACTTTCTGCAAGAGAAAGCTCTTTGTTTCTACCTATAAAGATAGGTCTTTTTTTCCCCTGTATGTGGGTGGCCGAGTGTGCACTATGCGGTTTCCCTCCCCTCTTTCAGCACCCCATCTAGATGGGCCTGTGTTCAGACGTTCCCTGGGAGCTCTTGGTCTTACCTGATTGAGAAGCAAACTGCATGTTATGGTGTTCTGGGTCTCCCCAGGCCCTAAATGTCCATTTGAAACTCTGAGCCCTCCTCATCTCCCACTGTCTACTGCCTCCTCTGGGCCTGATCATGCCACCCCACCCCCCACCCCAAAACAAAAGGCATTCTCACCGGCTGTTCTAGAACTGCTTCCTTTCTCCCTTTTACACTAAAACTCCCAAATCACAGCAAACAATATATTCTAAAATTCCCATAGAAGTACTATACTGGTTATTTTAATATTCTACTGAAGTCACTACCAACTCCCTCCTTCATCTGTGAGGGTATCATCTAATTTTGGTTTTGCTTTTCCCATGGGCCATTAGTATGGACCTGGACCTAACCCTCATTGGGGGAGAATCCTATCCATGACCAATCAGGGCTGGGCCTCAAAAGCACATGCTTGCCCAAGAGAAACAAATGCTTGCTTCTCACTGTTCCTCTTTCTCTTTGAAACCAAATATTGATAAATATCTTGGAAACTGAGGTCTACCACAAGGCACCCTGTCCTGGTTTCTTGAGGGAAAACACCTGCGCAGCGCTGGCCCAGCTGGGCTGTGTCTCTCAAGGAATGGCCCCCTAACCTTATCAGTTCAGTTATAACCAATAACAGCTGTCAGCTACAGCTCTCTGGAGGGAGAGAGTTGCGTCACTGCCATCTTCTCACACTCAGGAGCTCTTCTTCTCTCCTGGTCACAGCAGGATGAAGGAATCCCTCATTTCCAGTTGGGTTCTCAAGCTATCATGGCAAGACAGGGAGACAGCTGCCTTCCCAAATGCACACTACTGAAGGAGACAGGCAATCTTTCACCCCAAGCAGGCAAATAAGCCATGAAGTCTCATCAGAAAACCTCAAAGTCAGAGTGGCTGGGTGGCTCAGTCAATGAAGTGTTCTACTCTTGGCTTTGGCTTGGGTCATGATCTCGAGGGAGTGAGACAGAACCCCACGGCTGGCTCTGCGCTCAAAGAGGAGTCTGTTGAAGACTTTCTCTCTCTTTGCCTTTGCCCTCCAACCCCTCTCTTTCTCAAATAAACAAATGCTAAAAAAAAAAAAAAAAAAAAGAAAAAGAAAAGAAAAAGAAAACCTCAAAGTCACTGTTATCATGGCTTCTGCTTGGAGCCAACTCATCCTCCCAGCAGAAACATACATAGAACCTCCCACGTTCTCCACCTTGACTCCCACCAGGAGCAGCAAATCCTTCAGACCTGTCCAAAGCTGGAGCTGCAGTCTTTCCCACTTTTTCTTTCTCAGGTAATCAGAAAGCTGTTGATCGTAGCTGAGGTACTTGAATTTCCTAGGGAAGTCCCTCTTGCTGATACACTGGCTTTCTTCTGCAACTAGGATGCCATGGATTGTCCTTTCTGCCTTGGTTGGCAGAAATCTGAAAGTACCTTGGTTTTTTCGATATATAACAAGTTTTCTTCTTATTTCTGTCTCTTAGAACATGGGTCTTTAATAGCCCTGATGTATGGGTATATTATCACAGAAGTGATCCCAAATCATTTCAAGTAGAGACTAGAAATTTTTAAAAAGTAATACTAGTTTCCTAATCTATTAAATAAAAGCTAAGTAATACCTACCTCATAGAACTGATCAATAGCACAATGATTGCACAGCATCTAACAGAGTAGGTGGTTGGTAAATGAGATCTGATTTGACTTAAACATCATTAGTACATTATTAATTCCTGTCCTAAGCAGAATTATTGATATTACCATGGCAAGAATTTTCCATTTAATTCATAACTTAAAACCCACATGATTGCAGATTGGATTAGAGACAGTTTATGGTACCAAAGAAATTATTTTTGAACTACAATATGTAAAATATGATCATTCATACAAAAAGATACAGAAAGAGGGAGGAAAAACAAAATTCCAGGATCTGGATGAGTTAACTGAGGAAAATGAGCTTGATACTCCCTTTGTGTTTTCTGACAGCCAAAGCAGGGAGAAAATCAGGTTAACGTATAGGACTCTCACTGTCTGATAAATGCAACGTGTACCTCACATGGAAAGTGAATTTTTCTCCTGACATTCAGAGCTTGAGTAATGGCTTGCACAGAGTCTTATATGAGGTTCAGTGGGTAAGCAACAGAAGGGCCATACTTAGGAGCACCCAGGGGCAAAGGCACACGCCCAACTTTCAGAAGAGAAGTTTCACTTTATCAGTATTAAATTTTAGGGACCAATGGGTGAGGTACATAGAAGGGTACTCTTTTTCATTTTCTAAAGCTTTCACTGAGAAATTTTCTTGAAGAGCATAGACCAGTGCTCAGGTCCTCCGAGAATACCTTCCCATCCTTTCTTAGTGCACATGTACTTAAAGAACATACTTAATTTAACTTAAGGAGTTAAATGACTCCACTCTGTTCCAACAGGCAGCCGCCTACAGGCTTCAGATCTGTGAAGCAGCCTGGCAAGTGGCTTCACTAGGACTACAGGCTGATCCCTCTTGTTAAGCCCCCACACAGCCTTGCCTGGGGCTCTGAGCCCAACTGGTCAGAAGGGTCTGCAGATGCAGAGACTGTGGCTTCGTCCCTCAGAGACCTGCTTCCCATTGCTCGCAAATAATCAGTGACAACAGACTTCCCGGGGAAAACTATAATCGCCCAACTAGGGGCAAGGCCAAATGCTTGCAGAATTTATTGGCTTTGATGAACAATTAGGTGTTTGTTTTCGTAGGTAATTAGAGCGCAACAGCAAGCTATAAAGGGCCCTCCAAGAAACTGAAGCAGACTGTAGCTAAAGGCTACTGGAGTCGGACTGAATCTCCCCATTCATTCCTGCAGCCCTCCTGCACTGGAATGCCAGCGGCCCTGCACAATCGCACAGGTCAGCGGGGAGAAAATGGCCCCCCGTGCTCTTCACGTCCAAGGAGAAAGGCCTCTGTGCGGCACGTGTGTGCTCACACATGGGTGCAAAGAGCACTCCAGCGTGGGCCCTGGCACTGAAGACTACATGGAATCTTGCAGTTCATATAAACAGATGCATCCAAAAGTCCACAACAACCCACATGTTGGAAAATGTTTTGACAACTGCATTCTCAAGACCACTAGGTCCTTGATTCTGAGGAACCAGGATGGGCCCGGTGGGACCTTTGGCGCAAAGAAGAGAAGAGAGGATGTTTGCCAAAGCCATACTGATTTACGTTTTTCTCTCAGCAACCACTTTCCACTGCAGCTTTGAGTGTGTGTGTGTGTGTGTGTGTGTGTGTTTAGCAAATCAGAAATATGAATACATATTTGATTACGATTAATTTTTAAAAATTATTTCCTAGTAGTATAGGCAAAAAAAAAGTATGGGCAAAGGGCTGTTGCCAATATTTAAAAAATACTGTTGAGATAAAAGAATTGTGTACTTAGAGACAACTACTCATTTTGCTTCTTTTAGTCGATGACATGTTATTTCTGCCTTAATCCCAGGAAATACACACAGGATTATTATCATTTGCTCTGCTCACATCATGATACTCAGTAGGCACAAAAAAGGTAACAACCAAACCCATCTACGAGAGTGAAAAAAATAGAATGGGACCAGAGAAAACAAGACCAAAAAATACAAATAAAGCCACAGATACAGCTAACCTTAGAGGAAACTGATTTTGTGCTTCTCCTTACAGACCGACTTTAGTTTTGCAGAAGGTTGAGCTCACATTTAGGGTCCCGCGCATCATACTCAATAGGTCATTAGGAAACACTTTATGTTTTTTCGCCAAGAACTAGACTTCTATTTAATTTTGTTCTACCCAACCCGGTATAAATTTTCCTATTGTTCTGCATGCTCTGACTGCCTCAATTTAAGTATTTATTTTTTAAGTTCTTATGGAGTCATACCACAGTTTTTTTCCCCCTCAGAGAAATACAAAACAGACACCTACTGCAGGAGAAGTAGTAAACCCTCAAGCCACAGTTTTAGGGTCGGCTGGCTTCCCGCCACCTGAGATTTCCTGCAGGTGATCTCAATCTTGGGCCAGCCACTCAACCCCTCTGACCTTCTTTTCCCTCCTCTGAAAATCCGGGAGGCTGCCTTAGATCCTTCCCACAACATCTTTGGGCTCTGAGGTTTTATGGCTCTTCCCTCCTCTGGGGAAGAATTTCCATGGACAAAGGCAGCAGCTGATAAGTCTTTTAAACTAAGACACTGACATTCTGCCTTAAGACAGTTGGACTTCATTGGAAACCGGCTCTCAAGGAAATAGAAAGTCAACAGTATGAAAATAATCCCATTATCTGAACAACAGAGTGAATCAAAGATCATGCTGGTCCAGGAAAGGAAATGCAACCAAAGAAGACATTCTGACACAAACCTCTTTGCTCTAGACTGTATGCACTAAGAAGAGACATGAACATGAAATGAACATTTCAAGTCTCAGATCATCTGGTCAGTAATCTTTCTGGGCTCCCTGAAGGACCGAGACCCAGGCCTGCTGGCCTACGTCTGTGTTACAGAAGAAGCAAAGGCAAAGAGCAGCACTGTTTCAGAACTTTTGGAATTCAAGGGAAAAAAAAAAAAAAAAAAATATATATATATATATATATGTATATGTATACATAAATACATATGTTTCAGAATATATATATGCATACATATATTCAGGAAGGAATTGGAAAAGGCAGAACAATACAGAGTCTGATACTTACTTGTGGCCCAGCTCATGAGCGATGGTAAAGGCCAAATTGAGACCATTGTCTTCCGCAAGCACACATTTCCTCTTAGCACTGCACACGCCTCCTAAGTAAGCAATTCCTGCAGCAGAGACACAAAAACACATCCTCTTCAGAATGTGGGAGGCCCTGACCTTGCTAGGCCAGTCCATAAGGTCAACATCACTCAAGACGGAGAGGGGAGGGGCAGACTAGAATGGTACTGTGGCCATGGGGCTGGAGCCGTCATTCCAGAGCTCCTGCGGAGGATGGGCTGGTGTCTACTGCTTTGGGATTCAGCGACAAAGCATTAATAATAATAATAACCACCACGCAGATCTCCCAAGCATCTAGTAGGTGTTAGGCAATGTGCCGTATTTGCACGCATTATCTCATTTCATCGTAATTACCCAGGCTGGCGGTGACAAAGGGAGACCAAGGCTCTGCAGGGAAAGGTGAGTTGGAGTGGTGTGTGGTGGTGGGATGCTCTCCAACTTCAACATCCAGGGTGGGGACGAGGTGAGGCCAGCGAGGCAAGGCCGCCAGCGTGAAAAGCTGAAGGAGGGTTCCCCTCCCCAGAACTGACCCTGTGCTTGCACACCCAGAGAGAAAGGGGATTCCTCCTTAAGTTCTGCACCCCTGTCACCTTCTTTCCCTCCTCCCAGTCCGAGCCCTGCAGGACCAGTACCCTCAGGGTGGGAGCAGGGCACCTAGGAGCCACTAGACTCACAGAAAGCAGGCCAGGGAAGGCTGTGCATGATATTCAGAAAAAATGTTTCAGGAGCCTTCCAGAGAGAATGAGACTGGGAGGGAGGGAGAGAGGGAGAGAGAGAGAGAGAGAGAGAGAGAGAGAGAGAGAGAGAGAGAGAGAACACCTTGGAAGAGGAGTCATCAGTGATGCTGAGCCCCACGGACCAACTCACTCATCTCCATACACACCTGACTGGGGTCCCTTGGCCGCTGAGACAAGAACCGAACCCAGGCCCCCGGCTGGAAGCCAGACTCAGGGGAAGGGTGTAAGCGAGGGACAGGAGGCTGCCAGCCTCTGGAGGATGGAGGGGAGTTTTCTAGGGGACAGAGGTTACCCTGGCAGAAAGGCATGTGTGAACAACAAGAGGGCTTTGGCCCGCCATGTCTGAGGGACAGCCATGTGTCTGCAGCTGCCACTCCCCACGGTAGCTCTCCACGTTCCCTGTTAGCTCCTGCTGTCTCTGCACCCAGACAGGCATCCCTCACTACCCAGGTGCTTCTCAATGACGCGGGGTTTATCTCAACACCAGGAGTCCACGGGCCCCCACCCCCTCCCAGGGCTTGGGACGGAACCCGTGTGAGGACGGGAAGCTCCTGTACTCCCCAGGAACTGTAGCCTCTGACCCCTTCATACAGCATGAGACACATGAGTGGGTGGTGGCCCCGGGCGGCTGGCATGGAGCACACTGGCAGCGGCTCAAGTCTCCCCTTGCTGTGAGTTCACAAGGGCTCTGGGGTGGGCTGTGGCTCCACTGGCCCCACAGCCAAGCATGTGCCACCCAGGGATACCTGGTGACTAGGTGGATAAAGGCTGTCTCAGCCAGACTCTCCCCATCAGTGCTGTGCCCTGAGAGGAACTGTGGCCACCGGCATGAGAGGCGCCCATTTTCCACCCACGATGCCATGCCCCCCGCAAGTTGCATGCTGCCCCGTTTAGCGGGGGCCCCTTTCACTAATGCGCACCAGGTGTCTCAGGAGCAGACACCAGCCTTGCAGGCACAGGAACTGGGGAGGGAGGGAAGGAGTTGGTGGAAAGTGGAGGAAAATGGACAGGGGAAGTTAATTAAAAAAATGAACCTCTTTCCTTGCTTCCCAAAAGCGAAACTATCCTCCTTGTTGACACAAATCCAAATGGAGGTGGCCCTCAGCCTCACACAGGACACTCCCTCCTTCCTCCCAACGGCCCCCCCCAGGAGTCCTAAGAGGCAGAGCACCCTTGACCTGGGCTCTACTCTGCAGGGAGATCCTGCTCTGGGGCTGAGCTCAGAGTCGGCACACCAAGCCGGCACCACGGCGCATGTCGATTTTTATTTGGGAATATGCAACGTGCTTGGCCAAGGTTGAAGAATTAAGGAAAAAAAAAGAGAGAGAAACAGAGGGAGAGAGAGAAAACGAAAAAAAAAAAAAAAAAGAAAAAGAAATGTTAGTTGGCCTCAAGATGTGTTTTTTTTTGCACGTGGACATCATAATCCAGCAAAGCAGACATTGGAAGTAGAAAAATGACAACCAGAAAGTACATGATCCGGCTTCTTGGTGCCTTCAAGGTCATTATTCTGGTTTTGTTTAAAAATGCTTTGTGGGTTGCTGCACCAAGTCCAGCAGTGAGTAGGTGGAATGTTTCTACACAGCACTGATGGTATGTGCGTGCAACACACACACACACACTCAAATGCACACCCAGCAGGCCTCTCCCGGCCTGGGGGCTGCAGCATCCTGGGTCAATGAATCAATAAGAACAATCAGAGGTGCACAACCCCCCCCCCCCGGGGAAAAGCCATCTGGTGAATGGGGAAGGGAGACATCTGAAGCCAGCTGTGCTGAGCTTGCCGTCCCAAGAGTGGCTGCTGAACCAGCAGACTTCGAAGCCACACGAACACGTTCCTGGCCCCTGCCGCTCCCAGCACCCGGAGCCGGCAGGCCTGAGTTTCCACTGTAATTAGGTAACACGCAACATTAGGAAAACAGCTAAACAAAGAGCCTTCCAATAATTGCATTTTAATTTTTCCAAGACACAGAGGATTTTTTTTTTTAAAGGAGAAAACAAAGGATCAGTTTATTTAGGAGAAATGTTCTCACACATGGAGGTGGATTAAGATCTAGTGCTTTGAATGATGTATTCCAATCATGCACAACCTGGTCAGGAAAGCAAGCAAGGCAAAGTGTGTAAGAGAAGATGGCCCCCAAGATGGAGTGCAGGAGCCTGGAGGCTTTAGGACCCATGGTGTGGAAATGCCTACAATTCACAAAGTCTGGAGAAAATCCCAGGTTGTGGTAAAAGTAAGAGCTGCAGGCAAAAAGCGGCAATTGAGCCATGAGCTTCAAGGAGAAACAAAGCCCACCACTATTCCCTGTTCCCTGGAAAGAATGGAGGAGCAGTGGGGAGGGGAGGCTGAGGCTGTGGCACCAGAGGGAACTTCCTATTGCACCAGAATTCCCTACACCTACAGTAAGACCCTAGAATGGTGTTTTCCATGTCTTTAGCTTCCATGATTTACAATTCTTCACCAAAAAGGGAAGAAAAGCAACATAGAACTTATTTTTGAAATGTTAAAAACATCAATTCCACATATTTGCAGAGCTCCTTGGAACAAAAAGGGAAACAGAAAGGCAACTGGCATTTACTGGGATCCCCTCTAGGGGTAAGCACAACTCGGAATGCGTGACCCTCCCTTATCTGGTGGATATGGTTACTGGCCCCATTTTACACATAGGGAAATGGAGGCCCAGTAACCAATTTTATGGCTGACCAAGCCAGACCCAGGTGCAAAAACAGGACTCTCTCTAATACCGGTGCTCCTCCAGGTAAACCCTGAGCCTCCCTCACCAACGCTTTGGTGACCAAGAACAAAGAGTCATCTTTGTGGGTTTCAAAGATTTTCATAAATCTTAACGTGTTCTTATGCAGAGATGTGGGTGGGATAAAATAAAGGTTTTAGGCATTTAAGTCCAAGCTTTTTTAAATTAAAAATAAAAAAGACTCAAGGGATATGTGCAACAATATTAGCAGTTACCTCTGCTAATGGCACAGTTCGTTGAGGATCTGACTCTTGGTTCCGGCTCAGGGCATGATCTTGAGGTTGTGAGATCAAGCCCTGTGTCGGACTCTGAGCTGAGCACGGGGTCTGCTTGAGATTCTCTCTCCCTCTCCCTCTGCCCCTCCTGCTCATGAGCTCTCTTTCTCTAAAATAAAAACATAAATCTTAAAAAAAAAAATCCAAAATGCCAACAATAAAAATGAAGAGATGTAAAGATACTTTTTCTGATGCCTAGAGAAGTCTATCAGATTCATTTAGAAAAGCCAAAGTCTCCTAACCCATCTTCCCAGCCATGTCAACTCAGTGTGGACATTCTCCCTTCTCTTCCTTTCCTTGGTAGGACTGCAATTTTGGAGAGGAAATTGGGTGAAGAAGTTTAATTATTTTCTTTTTCAGTAGAAAACTGCATGATATAAGCACATAATTCTTAAACTCAAGAGTTGACCATATCCTTTCTAGATTAAGGAATAAACAACACACAACTGTATAAACTCTGATTTATCCAGCAAATTGTCACATGTAAACAGTTTGCAGCTGTTGGCCTTATTGGCCATTACTCATACCTTCTTGGACTCTGCCTCTGAAAAAAATGGTCGAGTTTCTCCTACCAACTGCTCAAAGTACTAACACCATAATGGTTATCACTGGGACACCATGCTGCCAATTACAAGATAGCAACTTATAGCTCTTCACTTGGCAGTCACAGTGATTGAAACAGAGTTGCACATTCAGCCTTGTGGACATGACCTCACGCTGATGTAAACTTCCCTAAGTGATTGGAGGTATGATCTGAATTTGCAAACAGCATTTAGAAGCAAATGTCTTAGAGTCTAGGGTGTGACAATGATAAAGAACTATGGTCAATTCTCATTATCTCTGGGATTTAGATTCTAAAAAGGCACTATGAACACGAAACTCTCAAATACGGAAACACCACTCCTAGGGGACATACAGGAGTAGGTTCCTGTAAGCCTCTGGTCACAATACCTTTGTCAACTGACTAATATGTAACCTTGTTTTATGTGAGTTCCTGTTTAAAGACACGTTAATATATATTGTTGATTCATTAACTTTGAATTCATGGCCAACAATCCTATAACTCATGCCTAAATGAAGCTTAATCTTGTATTTTTCTCTGTAAGACAAACTGCAGCCCTTCTGTGCTTTTTAGAACACAAGACAGAACTTAAGCACTATTCCTGAAAGCCACTGTAAAAACAAAATCATCCAAAAACAAGCACAAAAATGTAAAAAATATGGCACCAGAAGACCAAGAAAAGGACTTTTTTTTTTTTTTTTTTTTTTTTTACAGTATGAG